GCAACGCATCTTTCCCAGCATGTACACGGCGCCGGACTCTGCGCCGGCTGAATCGCGCAAGGCGACGCTCTATTTGCTGCGCTGCATTTTTCTAATGGGCATACGGACGCCGCCTCGCAGATTCTTTGCCATCTATTGCGTGTGGTCGTTTGCACTGAATCTGAGCTCCACATTTTACCAGCCCATTGGCTTTCTGACCGGCTACATCAGTCATCTGTCTGAGTTCTCGCCGGGTGAGTTTCTCACCTCGTTGCAGGTGGCGTTCAATGCCTGGTCCTGCTCGGCCAAGGTGCTTATTGTCTGGTCGCTGGTCAAGCGTTTCGATGAGGCCAACGCCATACTCGATGAGCTGGACAAACGGCTGCTGGTGTCCAGCGAACGTGCCCGATCACATTTTGCTGCCGCCCGCAGCAATCGCATCTTCTTCATCTACATGACCGTCTATGTGGTGTATGCGACGAGCACAGCTGTCGTCGCTGCCATCATGGGTGTGCCCTCCTTTCAGAACTTTTATCCTTGGCTGGATTGGCGCGCCAGCAGCTGGCAGTTCTGGCTGCAGTCCGGCCTGGAATACTTTGCCATGTTGGGCGCCTGCTTTCAGGATGTCTGTGTGGATTGTTATCCCGTCAATTATATGCTGCCACTGCGCGCTCACATGGCCATCTTTAGGGAGCGGCTGCGTCAGCTGGGCAAGGATCCAGAGGAGAAGCCAGAGCAGCGCTACAAAAAACTCATCGATTGCATTAAGCATCACCAGGTGATCCTGAGGTGGGCCCAAGTGCTTTAATTTTCGTTTGCGACATTTTCACACTCATATTTCTGCACCCTTTGCAGCTATTGTGACGTGTTGCGTCCCCTTGTTGGTGGCACAATTTTTGTCCAGTTTTTGGTTGTGGGCATGGTGCTGGGCTTTACGATTATCAATATTGTGATGTTTGCCAATTTTGGGTCACGCATCGCGGCCTTATCCTTTATGTGCTGCATTATGCTGGAGACAACGCCCTTCTGCATACTCTGTAACTATCTAACGGATGACTGCTACCAGCTGGCGGATGCACTATTCGAATCCAATTGGATCGAACAGGATAGGTTTTATAAGCAAATAGTTCTACAGTTTTTGCAGACTCTACAGAAGCCCATTGTTTTCATGGCCGGCAACATATTCAGCATTTCTGTGGCCACAAATCTGACCGTAAGTTAACTTCACAAAAAAAGTGGGCTGATTCGAATGTTTTACCTGTTAACTTTTTTATAGGCCATGAAATTCTCGTTCTCTGTTTTTACGCTGGTCAAACAAATGAATATAGCTGAAAAGTTGGCAAAATCAACGAAATTTGAAAATGAAGCAGCGCCAATATAAAAATGTTTGCGAATTGGATCTTTAATGATTCATAAAGATCAGATTCTTGATAGCTTATTTAATTTTTGATTGTTTACACTAGTTTCATAAAAAGTAGGCGCTTACCAACACTGCTTAGTAAGAATAGCAGTTAAAAGTGCGCGTTTACCAACACTTCTAATTAAAAATAACAGTTAACCAACACTACTATTTAATAATAGCATGCAAGCATAGCAACATTCATAAATTTAACAACACAGAGTTTTGAAGAATGCGATAACCAACACTACTTTACTCTATAGTTGACAAAATTGTAGCTGCTTTGACCTATGTAATTGTCCATTTTATATCTACTCATATATGCTTCGATATGTCCTGATTTTAACTATGAAATACTCTGAAATTTGTGGTATTTTAAATAATGTACTTACCAACACTGCTACTAAGTAATTACAACACAGAGTTACTTTCAATAGATTCAACATACATGAGTTAATCAACACTACTAAGTGCATACAAAATAACTAAACTAGAGCAAATTGTTTGCATAACAGTTGTTAGAGTTGTGTATAACAGTTATATAAATAAATATTTCACCTGTCTGCAGCCAAAAACTTATTCGGTCTTAAATTTATCCGCAATATTCATTTGCTTCGTGATGGTTATGACCGAAAAGGCAAATTTAGCAACCTATTAAAGAGGAATAAATGGAAGAAGAAAAAAAATTATGCAAATAAATGGAAATATGAATGAATGTCGATGGCGATGCCATTGTCATTGGGGCATCACTTACGCTGATGTTGCTGCTCATTGATATCGGCAAGATGCCGCCGGCTATGAAAACGATGGGCTGCTGCACATTGTGTAGAAAATACAATAGGGTCGACTGGTATCGGGAGCCGGCATCTATCCAATTACTCTGAAATATGGCGTGCGCCAGGGCTTCGCAGTCGTCGATAATCAGATTGCAGAGGTAACAGAAGGGGAACGTCTGCAGCAACGTGGTGATGACAAACACGAACGAGGCAATAGCCGTCGGTATAGAGTCCGAGAAGAAGAACACATTGATCAGGGTGAGGCCGAGAACGAGGCCAATCAGCAGGAACTGGGTGAAAATGGTGCCCGAGATGACGGGACGAATGAGGGCGCAGTAACTGCCGAAGGGTGGGAGGTGTATATAATGAAGAGATTTGCTGACTTCAGCTTCTTACTCGAGTATCATCTTGTGATCTATGATGCACTTGATCAGCGCCTCGTAGTGCTCGTCCTCGGTCATGGTGTCGTCGGTGCGCAGCTTGCTTATGCGCTCCCTGAGTATGTCCAGGTGATTGCGCAGGAGGAGCGCGTAGATGATCGGATAGATATCTGACAGCTGATCCTGCAGCACGGCGCCCGACATGATTACATACTCGAGCGTCGAGACAATCCACAGATTTAGCGTGTTCTTGTGCCAGTCAATCAGGGGATTGTATATCTGCCAGGGCGGACGACCGCTCAGCACGGAGCTCAGATACGTGGAGCCCGCATAGACACAGTAGACAATTGTGTAGATGACAAACACAAGATTGCCGCGCGACACAACCAGATGGATTTTCTCGCGCTCCTCCAGCTTGGTGCAGCGCAGATCCAGTTTATCCAGCAAATCCTTGGCCTTGATCAGACGCGACAGCTTCGTGTAGGTGACGGCCACCTTCACCGAGGAGCCATACGCATTGATGCACACCTGCAGCGAGGTGAGAAACTGGCCCGGCGTGAACAGCTTGATCATTGTCATATAGCTGCCCAGAAAGCCCAGCGGCAAATAGATGGTCGACCACAAGAACGTATTCACGGTCCAGAACAGATACAAATAGCGCTGCGGCCCCGCCTTGGGCGGTTGCCAGCCAATGAACGTCATGGTCCGATACAAATAGATGCAGCCATCTCGGGAGCGCATCTGCTCCGTCAGCGGCGCCGGCTTGATCAGCTTGAAGAGCATCCTGTGTGGATTGGGCGATTGTGTGTCTGGCGAATGTGCTGGCCAGCCAGGACTCGCGGCTTATATAGCAGCCGATGGGCTGTCGCCATTTTGGGCAAGTTTTCAATTCAGTGGCAAAGTTTGTCAACAAGTTTTGAAGCCGTTCCGCGCTTTTGCTTTTAATTATTCACTTGCGAATTAATCGCTCTGCTCCCGTTATGTTTAATTAACAGAGCGAACGATGAGTGCAATTTGCGTGCCTGGCATATTTCCACATGTTGACTTTCCGGCCTGCATTAATGATGCGGCCCGCACACAAAGTCAACCAAGCAAATTGCACATACGCAGCGTGTGCCGTCTTTTTGTTTTTTTCTCTTTGGATATGCATCTAAATTGCGGCTAATAAGTTTTCAATTTAAGCTGCCGCCGCGCACCTTAAGTCATTTGCATGAGCGGCCCATACACTTGTGTTCGTTTGTATACTCTATTTGTGAAAGGGCAGAAGGACATATTGGTTGCGAGTGCTATGATTTATAGTTTTATCGGGCTGTCTGCATGCAAGAGCTGAGCTATGAAAACTAAATCTGTACTTGGACAGTTTTTAGCTTAAGTATTAAGCTATTTTAGCCACGCCCAACTATTTTATGTCTAAGAAAATTTGCTTTATTTATTAGGAAAAACTCCGAACTAAGTTCAAGGAACATTAAAAATTTCTAAAAAAAATAGCCACAGAATTAGGTAGTTAAAATTGATGAGTTTATATTCTGAGAAATTCTTGCTGGCAGTTCTTCCTCACGAGTGATCACTGCAAGCGCTTGTTGATGAGTTTTATCTTAAACAAGCGCTGCTTTCTTTGCATATAGAGTATTTGAAAGTCGTAATATTCTTACCATGTTTTTTCGCACCGCCCTCTTTGTTGGCATTAGCAGTCGATCTAATATGCACAACTTTGCTTGTGCTAGGGGGAATTGCTTGTCGACAACAACAACAACAACAACTAAAAGAATGTTTTCTTGTTTTAAAATGGTCGCTAATCGCAGCCAAGTTCAAGGCGCAGAAGTCGGCCTTCAAGTTCAATTGCAATTATTAAATTAGCTGACAAGATATTTTGCATAATCAGCTTTAAAGCTGCTCCCAGTGGCATTTGTTGTGCCCGCTTGTGTGTGTGTGTGTGTGTGTGCATCTTTGTATATCTGCTGCTTGACATTACAGTGGAGCTTTAATGAAAAATATGTTCGGTGAGTGTTATTAATATTCCTCAGAATGTCTGGCGTTTGACACATGTTTTGTTGTCGGTGTCGCTGTCGCCTTTGTTGTGCGTCTCCTACTGCGTCTCCTACAGCAACTGCTACTGCTACTGCTACTGCTACTGCTCCTTTTTCTGCTGCTGCTGCTGTGTCTCTGCTGTGCACAAGTTGACATTTTTTTTCATTACTTCAACGTTTCAATAGAAGCAACAGCAGCCAGCTGCCTGGCTACAAATAAGCGCATGTGTGTGTGTGTGCTGAGTGTGTGTGCTGTGTGTGTGCTTGCTGTGTTGTGTACAAAAGCAAGTGTGTTGTGTCCAAAGGCAGCGCGTGAAGTAAGGGCAAGGATAATCTTTTGTTTGCCATTGTACAGCTCACACTTGGATACTTTCAGCTGCAGGTAAGCAGCAGCAGCAGCAGCAGCAGCAGCAGCTGGCACCTGTTTTGGGGCACAACACATTTGTTTATTTACCCTGCCCCCAGCCAGAGGTGTGCTTCGCACTCATATGTTGGCTGACAGCGTGGCTTACGTGCCGACATCTTCCAGAATTTATGCAGCATAATAAAAGCCAGCAACTTGGATTGTTGGTCAGCCAATGTCTTCGACCACAAATTCCATTCAGAGTCGTATCAATTAAGCCATTTAATGTAGCGCACATGCCGCAGGCTACAACTTACAGGGAACTTACTCGAGCCTCGAGCTATGGTAGAACCACTTAAAAAGATGTCGCCGGTTCGCTCAACTAATTGCAGTCGGCGCGTGTCAGTCAGTCGGTTGTGCCTGCCTTTTATACTGGCTGCCAGGATTCGTGGTATGTGCATTTAATAACATCAGCGAGTCATTTATTATCGCTTGACGTATTTATTTTAATTAACGGAAATTAATGCCACAGTGCGCAGCTGTGCGAACATGTTTGCAGTTGCTTACACACACACACACTACCTCCACTGTCCCCTCTTCCCCCACAGATTCAGCTTGTAGCTCAGCTGGCTGCTGCTCCTGGCAAACACCTGACGACAGGCGCACACACGAACACTGCCTCCTAAAAGGATGCCACACACACAGAGAGTATATGTCGTTCAATGTATCTTGTTGAGATCCCAGCCACACACACACACACACGCACACACACACGCTCAGTCACACACTCAGACAGTAGTGTCAATCTGTTTTTGATATGCTGCAAATTAATGGAGTTAACAACGTGGTCTGCCAGCCTTCGACCTGGCTATAAAGGCACATGCATACTCGCATATATATGTCTGTATATAATACATCCAACTTGATTATATATTTGCTTAATTCATTTGACTGCACATTTTGTTTATCATTAGCAAATGTCTTACTTTTGCCAAGTACATCTATTTATATTTTATTATGTAATTTCGTGCGAGCAAAACTTTTCTGCAGCAGCAGCTGCATTAATTTTTAATTACTTAAACTATGCTATTAATACATACCATGAGCTTGGAAAAAGCCCAAAAGTTGCATTAGTTTTTAATTAATACAAAAAAATGCCATAAATTTGTAAAAACCCCAACAGTTCAAAATACTTTTATCAGCTGTTTGCGAACATGTAACTAGTTGGCTGCATTTTCATAAATCGTGTGTAGTACACGGACGCGCTAAGTTGCGAAAAGCTGATGCACCTATTTTTTTATTTATACCCTGCACTGATTACAATTGGGCATATCTGCAAATGCATGTTATTGGCAGTAGAAGAAGGTCTACTTGCTGCATAGCTGTGTTGGATTGTCTTCGCATATCATGTGCAGATCAAGTTTTATTCTTTTTTTGATGAGTATCGTCTGATTAGTCTAAGTTTAATATAAGTCTTCAATATGAGGAGTTCCTTTTACATATTTCTTAGTAATATTTTAACTAATTTTAATGACACTTAGCTTAAGCACTTCACTTACTCTCTCAGTCTCTCTCTCTCTCCCATCTAAACTGCCTTTCTATGCGATATTTGTGAAACGCCTTTCTATGCGATTTTCATGGTTCTAAGAATATTTTAGAATATTCAGAGCTAATTATATTTTTTTTAAGTAAAAATAACTTATTTTAATAAAACTCTGCGATTTTAATGGTTCTAAGTAAATCTAGTATATTAAGAGTTCAAGTTACTTTTATGTTGGTAGTACTTTCTCAGTTTTAATGACACTTTATTTAAACCCTTAACTAACTCGCTCAATCTCTGTCGCTCTTTGTCTCTTAAATAAGCCGCCTTTCTACGCGATTTTCATGGTTTTAAGTAAGTCTGGCGTATTAAGAGCTCAGTTTACTTTCTTTAAGTGATATATAAACTGATTTTAATGGCACTTCCCTTTTCATTACCTTTCACTTTCGCTAACAGTCTCCGATTTTCTTTCTCTCTTATCTGAACCGCCTTTCTATGCGATTTTCATGAACTTGAATAATGATTTTAAGTCCGTTTCTGTCCTGGGCCCAGCCAATTCCCTCGCTGAATATACTTAACTAAAGCGCACTTTTGTTTTATTATTGAGGTATGCTCGAAGTGCCAGCCAGGGCGCACTTTCTGCTGCAGCGAATTATTCAAAATCATGAGCGTGCAAATAAAAAAAGAAAGCAAGCATAATGCTAAAATAAAACGTTACATAACACTAAATTTATGTATGTGTGTGTGTAGCATAAATGCTTAGAATAATTTCGCAGCCAAGCATTAAATTAATTTTTGTATTTTTTCTGCTAAACGGAAAAAAAATAAAATAAAAATGGAAAAAAAAAATCATACAAAATGCACTTTGCTGAGCTGCTGCCCTGCGCTGTGGTCGTAAGTGTGTGTGTGTGTGTGTGTGTGTGTGTGTGTGAGTGCCGCAAATAAAATGATGATGAACGAAATTCCCCAAAGCAGCTGGCAACCCTGAAGTACACACAAGCACGCACACGCACACACACACATTCGTGTAGCTACAGCTGTGAGTGTAGCGCAGGGTCATAAATGCCATTATCATTTGTAAACATTGCGACAGCGAGTGGCCCAAATTGTTAACTTGGCTACAAGGTCGCGCTCATAAACATATGTATAAAAACGAGAACATCAAAAAATAAAACAAAACAAGTCACACACACATACACACACACACAACATTATGCTAGACAACACACAAAGTTTTAATTAATTTTTGTCTGTGTGCGCCACAAGTGCACGTATGCGTCTATTTTCCTTTCCGTTTGTATGTGTGTGTGTGTGTGTGTGTGCTTGTTACACACATACATATTTAGTGTAACAAAAAATGGCTTGACCCAAATGTAATCAGATAATTTGTTGTGCAGTGTCAATATTTGCACAGCCGCCGCGCTTATTTGAAGTTCATAACAATTTTGTAAGTTATTAAAGGCGCACACAAACAAATAAACACACACACACACACCTGTGCATGTGTGTGTAATGTGTATATAAGTGTGCACACCTCAGCCTGGCACAGATTTCGCCCCTGGGCGCTGCGCAAATATTGCATGCTTAGGCCGTAGGAGACGCCGAGGCTACTCGTAAATGTTGCCAAGCCAGTCAGTCTGTCAATCAGTTTGTCAGTCAATCAGTCACTCAATCAGCCAGCCAGTCAGTCAGCCAGTCAGTCAGTCGGTGGAGCCACAGGGAAAATGGCACAAAAGAGCAACAACCAAAATTGATTTAATAGGCCCTCATCAGCCAAGTCCATGTTTATAGTCCTGTCTGTTGTATATGCCCTTTAAATGCGAGCATGTGATATCTACATGAAAAGCATTTCAAATGCATTGTTCCGAGCTGT